CACATGTTTTGAGACCCCCACCTCCACTGCTTTGTATTTATTTCTTTTCTTCCATCATGGACCTTCAATTTCTCCAGGATACAGGCAATATCATAGTCATATTGAACTTCTCCCCATTCCCTCACCTCTGGCTTAGATCTATGATGCAAAATGCCTTTACATCACACACACACACACACACACACACACACACATCATCTCACTGGCGTTGAGTTGATTCTGACTCACAACAATGCTGTACAGGGTTTACAAGATCATAAATCTCCTGAAGATCAGCTAGTGAGTTTGAACTGTCAACCCTGTGGTTAAAAGCCCAATGCCTACCCCACTGCCACCAGGGATCCTCAGTAAATAATGGTTTCATAAATTCTGGTTCCACTGGTCTGTTGTGAGGCTGAGGCATGAAACAGGACTCTAACGTGCCTCGGGTGATGCTCATATGCAGCCTCAGTTGAGAACCGGAGTTCATTGACAGGCACGTGTGGTCTGCCTGGTCCCTTCCTCTGGGCTCAAGCCTGTGATAACACCATCCCCAAGCCAGCGGAAGGAGACAGCAAGGTGAGATTTGAAAACCGTGCTTTCCAAGAAAAGAAGTAAAAGATTTGCTATCTGGAAAACTAAGACTATGAGGACCAACCCCTCCCCTTTGCAATAGTCATATTTCCAAGAATTCAAATGCTTAAATAAAACAAACAACCCCCCCCGCCCCCCCGACAATTTCTGACCATGTTTACCTGTGTTTCTACTAGAGGGTTGATATTTTGCCCCCAAAAGGCAAATGTTAGTAAAGCTTTGCCCTTCAGAAATTTGGCAAATAAAATGTTATGGTTTTTCAACAAATGACACATGGGGTGCAATGGCACTTTTGAAGCAGACGGAGAATGTGTCTGTGTGTGAGTACGCAGGCATCAACGATGCTTGCGTCCTTCAGTATGGAATTGAGTTTGTGTTGTGAGGTGTTGCCATGTCAGTCCCAGCTCATAGTGACCATCTGTACCCCAGAATGAAGCACTGCCCAGTTCCGAGCCACCCTGACGATGTTCCCTATGCTTCAGCCCATTGTTGCAACCCCCGTGTCAATCCATTTAGTGAAGGGGCTTCTTTTTGCTGCCCCTCCACTTTACCAAACATGATGTCCTTTTCCAGGGACTGGTCTCTCCTGACAACACTCTCACCATCATCACTTCTAAGATGCATTTTGTCTGTGCTTCTTCCAAGACAGGTAGATCTGTTTGTTCTTTTGGCCGTCCATGGGAGTTCAATACTTTTCATCAGTATCGTAATTCAACTTGCATCCATTCTTCTTCGGTCTTCCTTATTCCATGTCCAACCGTCACATGCCTATGAAGCAATTGAAAATACTATGGCGTGGGTCTGTCCTCCAAGTGAATTGTGTTTAGTTATATAGACAAATCGTTATCTTGCTTCATTTCAAACTCTTTTCTTCATCCTTTGGAAAAATAATTTCTATTCTCCAATCTGGAATGGAATCAACATATGTAGGAAGGGGGTTCAAAACATTCCTGAGAAAAAAATGGAACAAAAATATTGTACATTTTCCACGAGCTCTTTAAAGTCCCCTTATCTATCATAGATAATTTTAATATATGTAATTTGATGGTTTTATTTTTTAGTATCATTTATAACATATACAAACATATACATCTATAATGTTTTCAACATTTTATTTAGCAATTCTCAAACATATAAAGAAGTTGAAAGAATCGTAAAATAAATGCTTAAGTAACCTCTGGCTAGGGAAAAGAATCGAACATTTACCACATGCATTTTCTCTTTGTCTCCTTTTGATATATTTGAAAATAAATCTCAGATAACGTGAGATTTTACCCCTAAATATTCATCACTTACCTCTAAGATTAAAAATTTAAAAATGTATATTTAAAAACGCACTACTATTGGGTTAATGCCCACTCACAACAACCCTATAGGACAGGGTAGATCTGTCCCTCTGGGTGTCAAATACTGTAACTCTTTACAGGAGTAGAAAATCGTATCTTCCTCCCGAGGAGCAGCTGGTGGTTTACAAATAGCTGACTTTGTGGCTAGCAGTCCAGCTCGTGGCCACTCTGCTACGCGGGCCGCCCTCCTAAGCTGAGGGACAGTATGGGTTTTCTCATCCTGCCAACGGTTAGTCTCAGAACCCACAGGGTTGCTATGAGTCAGCATTGACTCCATGTCGGTGAGTTTGGCTACGTGCCCCAATACCTTTCTCCCAACTAAGTAAAATTGATAGTAATTCTATCATTACTATTTAATGGCTCATCCGTATTCAAATTGTTCCAATTGTTCCCAACAAAGTTGTATATCTCTCCTCTTGCCCTCACTGAGCCCGGATCTAATTCAGATTCATCTATTGCATTTAGTTTAGCATCATTTTAGTATCTTTAATCTAGAGCACTATCCAACCCCTTCTCTCCCTCCTCCGGCCCTTCTATGACATTAAACCCAAATGTAACACCATCAAGTGGATTCCAACTCATAGCAACCTATGTAGGGTGCCAGAGGTGGTGAATCTTTAAAGGATCAGCTAGCCTCTTTCTCCTGAGCAGCAGCTGGTGGGTTTGATCTACTGACCTTGTGGTTAGCAGTCCACTGCTTACCCACTAGCACCAGCACTAGCAGGGCATTGGCTTTATGAAAAGACCCCAGATTTTTAAAAATTTTATTTCAGTCATTTTATTGGGGGCTCATACAACTATTATCGAAATCCATTGTGTCATATACATCCATTCCGTCAAGCACAATTGTACATTCGTTGCCCTCATCATTCTCAAAACATTTGCTTTCCACTTGGTGTGTTGGGGTCGGCTCCTCATTTTTTCCCCTCCCTCCCTGCTCCCCACTCCCTCATGAACCCTTGATAATTTATAAATTATTATTTTATCATGTCTTACACTGCCCGACGTCTCCCTTCATCCACTTTACTGTTGTCCATCCCCCAGGGAGAAGGTCCTTGTAATTGGTTCCCCCTTTCTACTTCACCTTCCCTCCACCCTCCTGGTATCACCACCCTCACCACTGGTCCTGAGGGGGTCATCTGTCCTGGATTCCCTGTGTTTCCAGTTCCTATCTGTACCACTGTACATCCTCTGGTCTAACCATGTTTGTAAGGTAGAATTGGGATCAGGATAGTGGGTGGGGGAGGGGAAGCATTTAAGAACAAGAGGAAAGTTGTGTGTTTCATCGATGCTACACTGCACCCTGAGTCATTTGTCTTCTCCCCGCTACCCCTCTGCAAAGGGATGTCCAGTTGCCTACAGATTTGGGTCCCCACCCCGCACTCCCCATCATTCATGATTTTATGATTTTTTTTGTTCTTTGATGCTTGATACCTGGTCCCTTCGACCTTTCGTGGTCACACAGGCTGATGTGCTTCTTCCATGTGGGCTTTGTTGCTTCTGGGCTAGATGGCCGCTTGTTTAGCGTCAAGCCTTTAAGACCCAGATGCTGTATCTCTCAATAACCGGGTACCATCAGCCTTCTTCACCACACTCACTTATGCACACATGTAAGACCCAGACTTTTGTTGTTGTTGTTGTTGTTATACACATGATGTTGGTAATATATTATACCCAAGTGAAGTAAAATAAAAAATTCAATGTTGATTTAACATTTGAACATTGATCAATGTAATCAATCATATTAACAGACTAAAAGAAGAAAAGCCATTCAATCATCTCAACAGATACAATAAAATATATTACCAAATCTAGCAATCATTTATGATAAAATACTCTCACCCAATTAGGAGTGGAAGGGAATTTCTTCGACATGATACAAGTTTGGAATAATGGCTTCTGACATTCTAAACTTTAGAACCAGTGAATCTATTACTTTGCATAGCAGCAGGGATTTTATAGATATGATTAGGTTAAGGATTTTAAATGGGAGAGATTGTCCCAGATGATCCTGGTGGATTTATTACAAAGGGTCAGAAGTAAAGCTTTTGCAGGTGAGGTTAATTATCCTGATTGTAATAACAATACCACAGGTATGTGTATACATATGTGTCAAAATTCATCATGTTTTATACTTTATATACCGTTGACTGTACATCAGTAAAGGAGCTATGCAGCGAAGTTTAAATTGCCAACAGGCAATAAAAACGAACTGTGTATTCTTATATAAAAATTATTTAGAAACAGTTTTAGTAGTGTTGGATTGGGTGAGAAAGTTCAACTTCAATGGGAAACCACTTACTAACAGAAGAAAACAAGTCAACAAATATACCAAACCCACTGCTGTGGACCCGGACCCATAGCAAATGTTGTCTTCTGCTTACGATCAGGCTATCCTGGAACTTCCAAGGGCATTGGCGATTCAGTGATAGAATGATAGAGTTCTGCCATGGAGGAGACACAGGTTCGATTCCTGGCCAGTGAGCTACTTGCCTTGCTTTTGTGTTGCTATGATGCCGAACAGGTTTCAGGGGAGCTTCCACAGCGAGAGAGACTAGGAAGAAAGCGAGGCCAGCGCCTTCTAAAAACCCGCCACTGAAGACTCCGGGGATCATAATGCTATGGGGGTGGTAACAAGGAATTGGCATGACTTGAAGGAAGATAATAGCAATCATGAGCTCCAGAGAAAATATCCCAATCTGGCCCTATCAGAGAGAGAGAGAGAGAGAGAGAGAGAGACCCTCAATTACAGAGAAAGCTTTCCAAGGACAAAGATGATTCTCATTCCCAAAACACTTGTCCTAGACACAAGTCCTCTAGCATATTGTGACCGCTGGCGCATCGATGCTAGTTGGTGGGCCAGTCATGGAGGTGGGACAACTACGGGCTCTGTGATCATCAAGGCTCCTTGGCCTCTGAGATGTGTCCAAAGGCAGTCTGAGCTATGCTGCATGGTTAGCAACAAGGACTGGGAAGGAAATGGTGATAGACATTTAGGGACCTCAGTCTGTGCCTGGATTCTTGGAGGCTCCTGGGCCTAGAGCTGCGTGGTAGTTATGCCTGCTCTTTCTCTGTGTTCAGGTGGAACATCAAGCCTTGCTGTCAACCTTACAGCTGACGTACACGGTGGGATACTCCCTCTCTCTGGTCTCCCTCTTCATGGCTCTAGCCCTCCTCCTGTTTCTTCGGTGAGTGGAACGACTGTAAACACAGGCTTAGGCCTCCCGCACCATTGAATTAGCTTGTTAGCAACTTCTAGAAGGCAGTAGAAGACCAGGATGGATGATGTCATGGATCACCAGAGCTCCAAGCTACCTGAAAGGACCTGGAATTCATTCATTCCATTTAGCAGATTAATTAGGGGAGATAGAAGGGTGTCCAAGGTCCACTGAGGGCCATTGAGCTACCTCAGGCCACCAACCCAGTTAGCAGCACAGCCAAAGCTTGGATCTGGGATTCCTGGTTGTGCCTCTGTCTCTGGGATTCAGTAACCTCCTGCATGTTCAAGGAGTCCCTGGGTGAAGTGCTTGCCTGCTAACTGAACAGTTACAGGTTCAATGCTCATCAAGAGATACTCAGAAGAGCCTGGTAATATGATTGCAGAAAACCAGACACCAAAAACCCTATTGCACCCAGCTCTCCTCTAACCAAGTGGCATCTCCACGAGTCAGGACAGACGTGGTGGCAACTGGTCTGGTAACTTGGTCCCGAATCACAGCCACAAAAATCACAGGCCATTCTGTAGCCATTCGATCAGAGGCACTATTTTGTACAAGAAGAAATAAAGCGAGTTCCTCAAGGCAATCGAGTGAGTGGTAGCGCTGGGGTATTAATCCAGATTCCTCTGGCTCCAATTAGCTAACAATTACTTAAGAGCTTACTCTGTGCCAGGCGCTGTTCAAAGTCCTTCATTACGTCATTTAATTCTCATCATAAACCTAGGGTGTTAGCACTATTATCACCACAGTTTATAGGCCAGTGAACTGAAAGATGGAGAGATAGAATAACTTCCCCAGGATCTCACAGCAGCTGGTAAGTAATGGAACCAGGAAACCAAATGGACCGTTCAGAACGTGAGCACGTTGCCACCCTACATTCCCTTGTTTAGAATCCAAAGCTTGCATACATTTTACTAAATCATGTTTTAGAAAACACTCCGGTGAGATAATTATGAGTCCATTTGGTGCCAACCTAGGGAGTAGCATAACGGAGTACAGCAGGTGGCAGAATGTCTATTGGTCACGGCTGCAGGGATCTGGATGGGGACATGGAGACCTGGATGCTCACTCCAGACTAGCTTTCAGTAGGGCTTTCCCAGTCTCAGATCTGAACTCCCTGGACCCCACAGTCTCAGAAGGTTCTACAGATCCCACGGCAGAGTCACGATCATCTACCCCACTGGGAGAGCCACATTTGAGTCACGGGAGACTCTCACAGCCTGGGGTTCACTGGCTGTTCCTGGCTTCCTCCATTCAGCTTCCCCTCATCCCACACCCAGGCCAGGGGAAGTCACTTCAGCTCAGCCTGAGGTGTCTGCCAGGTGCCTATTTTGCCTCAGGTGCTGGTAAGAGTGACACCCAGCCCCTGCACCTGCATATCCTCAGTCTAGTGTGGAGAAGCCTTGAGTCCTCTCCAGTGGAGCACATGCTGCACAGAGGCATAGATGGGGCTTTCGGAGCAGAGTGGGAATAGGTCCTTGGTCCAGAGAGCGAGGATGCATGTTGTTACATCAGCCGACGTGATAAAGAGCCTTGGAGAGGCTCCAGGTGGGTGTGAGAGAGGCAGTGAGAGCTGACATTCACTGGACATGCACTATGTACCAGGTCTAGTCTACTTAAAGTCTCCGCGCATCAAAGCTGACCCCATGGCAACTAACAACAAGAGCAGTAAGTACATGAGCACTTCACTGATTCAATCCTCGCACCGCCCTTTGTGGTAAGTGCAGTTGCCAGAAGCAGTAAAGCCTCTGAGAATTATACTTTGGCCCCAGACTGGCTGCATCTGAATAACAGATGGAATTTTGAACAGGGGACTTAACCCTGCTCCTTTGCCCCCCCCCCACTTTATAAAGCCCAGATGGTACCACTCATGCAGTGCTGTAAGGCGTCAGGATATCCAGAATGACATCCACCTGTAAGTGGACCTGAACATGATCTGGTGTGTCGCATCTGCCATCCATGTGTAAGCTACCCATAGCCCCATTTTGCAGATGAGGAAACTTAGGCAGAGAAAAGTACAATTTTATAACCTAGCGGTACATCCCCAGAGCCAACGATGGATTCTATTCTTAGTGATGGGTGCACAACAGTGGTGTCCCTAAGGTTGGAGACACGCAGGGTGGTAACCCATGGTGTTGGTAACCCTTGGGTGGGGCCTGCTACCCCTTGGTAGAAAGAGCATCATATCTCCCCCCGCCCCAGGGAGCACCTGTGGCTCCCCATAGCTCCGTCTCTCATTGGTCAGGGCGGGGACTCTTCTCCACCCAAGAGCGGGCACAGTCTCGGTCTGCCCTCTCACACCCTGACTCGTGAGTGGCTGGCAAGGAGCTTTGGGATGATGGGTGAAACACCACCTCCTCCCAGTGCTGTCACTGCATTGGCAGCCCCTTCCCCTGTAGCTCAGGTCTGCTCACAGAGCTGCTGGGCACCCTCGGGTCACGTTGGTGCCAACCCTTCCGACAGTGTCCACACCTCCACCCTCTCCTGTGATGCCTCTGGTCCACAGGTGTGTCAGACACACCTGTTGGTCCAAGGCATTCTTTTCTGAGGGAAGGTGCTTGGCTTTCTCCTTGCACAGAAAACTCCACTGTACACGCAACTACATCCACATGAACATGTTTGCTTCGTTCATGCTGAGAGCCCTGGCTGTGCTGGTGAAGGATGTGGTTGTCTACAACTCGTACACCAGGAAACCGGATGATCTGAACGGGTGGATGTCCTACATATCTGAGGTAAGCCCCTTCGTCACCCGTGGGTCAGTACTGGGAGATACAGGGCAGAGGGGTGAGGTTGAGGAGCACAAGAGAGTTCTAAGATTTTCTGCTTAGAGAGGATGTGGCTGACTTAGAGTAAACAGCAACTTCTGCGGAGCTGAGCAAGAAAAGGAAATCAGAATGGAAGAATTCACGGCCGCTGCTCGGTGTCTTTGGGTGAGAAGTTTCCTTGTATATCAAGAAGTTGGCATACATCGATCTGATTTTTTAAAAAGAAATATTGTTTTCTAAAATGGCAAAGCCTTTCCCCAGTGAAATTTACATCGATTGAGCTGGATTTCTTTTATCCAATGAATGCAACAAACTGTTCAACTAACCTTGCTTTCCTGGAACAACTCCAAGTAGATTTTGCTGTATACTTCTTTCTTCTATTGCTGTAGCCGGTTTTCTAATACTGTATTTTGTTTAGTATTTTCTCAACTATCTGTCTGAGAGGGAGATTAACCTGCAGTACTCTTTCTTTCTATAATAAAATTTTATGGTGTTTTTAGTGAATATTTACAAAGCAAACAAGGTTTACATTAAAAATTTTTTTCTTTTTATAGAAAAGGTAAATCGTTTTATTGGGGGCTCAGATAGCTCTTATCACAATACATACATACATACATTGTGTCAAGCACATCTGTTGCTGTCATCATTTTCTTTTCTTTTATTAAATACTTTTATTGTGGATCTTACATCTTTTATCACAATCCATACATTCATCCAGTGTGTCAAGCACACTTGTACATATGTTGTCATCATTAGTGTAAAAGCATTCTCTTCCCACTTGAGCCCCTGATTTTAGCTCCCCATTTCTTCTCCCTCCACCCCCCGCCTGCCCTCTCTCACAAGCTCTTAATAAGTCATAGATTATTATTTTCATATCTTGCATTGTCCTCTCTCGCCCCTCACTCACTTTTCCATTGTTCGTTCCCCTGAGAGGGGGTTATAGGTTGGTCCTTGTGATCGATTCCCCCTTTCTCCCCACACCGTCTCCCAATCCTCCTCATATCTCTACTCTCATTGTTGGCCCTGGGAGGTTTATCTGTCCTGGGTTCCCTGTGTTTCAGGCTCTTATCTGCAGAAGTGTGCATGTTCTGGTCTAATCCGATTTGCAAGGTAGAATTGAGGTCATCATAGTGGGGGGAAGGAAGCACCAAAGAGCTAGAGCAAAGTTCCGTGTTTCATCTGGGCTACACTGCACTCTGACTAGCTCCTTTCTTCCCTGTGATCCCTCTGTGAGGGGTTGTCTAACTGTCTACAGATGGGCATTGGGTCTCCACTCCATGCCCCACCCTCCATTTACTTCGGTTATGATGTTGTTCTGTGTATTTGACACCTCGTGATCACACAGGCTGATGTGCTTCTTCCATGTGGGATTTGTTGCTTCTGAGCTAGATGGCTGCTTGTTTATCTTCAAGCCTTTAAGACCCCAGATGTTATATCTTTTAAAAAAAAATCATTTTATCGGGGCTCATACAACTCTTATCACAATCCATGCATCCATCCATTGTGTCAAGCACATCTGCACATTTGTTGCCATGATCATTCTCAAAACATTTTCTTTCTACTTGAACCCTTGGTATCAGCTCCTCATATTTTCCCCTCCTTCCCCACCCACATACCTCATGAACCCTTGATAATTTATAAATTATTATTCTGTCATATCTTACACTGCCTGATGTCTCCCTTCACCCACTTTTCTGTTGTCCATACTCCAGGGAGGGGGTTATATGTAGATCATTGTGATCGGTTTCCCCTTTCCAACCCACCTTCCCTCTACCCTCCCAGTATCACCACTTCCATAATTGGTCCTGAGGGGTTTATCTGTCCTGGATTCCCTGTTTTTCCAGTTCTTATCTGTACCACTGTACATCTTCTAGTCTAGCCGGATTTGTAAGGTAGAACTGGGATCATGATAGTGGGGTGTGGGAAGAAAGCATTAAAGAACCAGAAGAAAGCTGTATGTTTCATCAGTGCTATACTGTACCCTGACTGGCTCGTCTCATCCCTGCGACCCTTCTGTAAGGGGATGTTTAGTTGCCTACAGATGGGCTTTGAGTCTCCACTTCGCACTCCCTCTCATTCAGATTGATATGATTTTTTGTTCTTTGATGCCTGATACCTGATCCCATCGACACCTCGTGATCACACAAGCTGGTGTGCTTCTTCCATGTGGGCTCTGTTGCTTCTCAGCTAGATGGCTGCTTGTTTATCTTCAAGCCTTTAAAATCCCAGATGCTATGCATTTTGATAGCCAGGCACCATCAGCTTTCTTCACTACATTTTCTTATGCACCCGCTTTGTCTTCAGTGATTGTGTCAGGAAGGTGAGCATCATAGAATGCCGGATTGTTAGAACAAAGTATTCTTGTATTGAGGGAGTACTTGAGTTCAGGGCCAATGTCCATCTGCAACCTTAATTCTTAACATATAGATATGAGTACATAGTTCTAGTCCCCTCTTATTATATATGTATTTACATATGTACACGCTATCTTTAGACCTCTATAAATGTCCTTTGCCTCCTGGTTCTTTCCTCTGTTTCCTTGTACTTTCCTCTTGTCCCACCAATCATGTTCAGCCTTCATTTGGGTTTAGTAATTTCCTCGTTGCTACATTGTCCTTGATTAAGTCCCACTAGGCATCCCATGCCCTTCTCTCCATTGATTTTAGTTCACTTGTTACTCCCTTGTCTCTGGGTTGGTCCCCCACCTTCCTTTTTCCCACCTCCCCTTCTCCCATATCACCCCCAGAATCATTGGTCCTGTTCTTTTCATCTCCAAATTATTTACCCCGCCAATCTTATCTAGATAGACATGCAGATACATTAGTAAGTGCAGAAACCTGGAAAAGCCAAATAAAACAGCAAAGGAAGTCTAAACCAACTAAATAACAATAACAACAAAAAGAAAGCCACTGACACAAATGAAAGGTCTATAAATCGTTCAAGGTCTGTTTGTTGGCCTTTACGAGTGTTTTCCAGTCGAGTCTCATGGGGTGCCACACTCTGTCTCCATTTTTGGTATTCCCGGGGGGTTTCATCACTTTGCTCCCCTTGCGGCTCTGTTGCATGCCCTTAGTGTTTCGCCCCAGCGTGACGGGGTCAGATTGTGCACAGTTCCCGCCCTGTGTCTCCAGTGTTGTCCCCAAAGTGCTATGGTTTTAGGGAGGGACATTGTGTCTTGCGGTGGGGCCGAACCTACGGTCCTCTCTGTGTGTTGTCTGCTCTGAGTAGGAATATCGTCCTCGGGGCTTTGTGGGTCAGGATGTCCTCCCCTCCCTCCCTTTTCATTTCTCCCATGTGCTCTAATCAGATGCACCCCTCTCCCCAAGCCGTAGCCCCAGTGCTTTCCTCTGAAGTGCATTCTTCTGAGGTGGGGGTGGGTGGGTATCCACATTGTCTGGATTGGGGCTGGCTCTGCAGACCTCTCTATTGGTTCCCTGGTACATGCCGGTATGTTGTATTCATGTCTTGGAGCATCAGATGAAGCCTGGTCTCTCTCTCCCTCTCCTGTGGAGATATAAACAATACCCTCCCCTGGGTGGGTTAGTGCCCTGTTTCCCCCCTACCCATGTCTTTTCTTTCCTCTTTCCTTCCCCCTCTTATTAGTTGGCTGCCATATATATATTCCTGGATTGGATTTAGCCCCTGCCATAGTTGCTGGACCTCACCCCAGGGATGTATGTGCACAGTAGTTTTCCCCTATGCCCCGTTTTTTTGTTTGTTTGTTTTTTAAGCTTACCTCAGTGGGCTCATGTTGTACTTGTGTACTAGTCATTTGTGCTTGGCCTACTTCACTCAGCATGATTTCCTCCAATTCTTCCCCTGCGGCAATGTGCTTCATGCGTTCGTTGCTGCATTTTAGGGATGTGCACCACTCTGTTGCATGTATAGCCCGCAGTTGTTTGAGCCATTCATCTGTTGATGGAAATTTGGGTTGTTTCCAACTCCTTGCAATTGTGAACTGCGCCGCGATGAACATTGGAGCACAGCTGTCTGGCTGTGGTTTGTTTCTTGCCTCTTCTGGGTAGATGCCCAGTAGGGGGATTGCTGGGTCGTGTGGTAGCTCAAGTTCCATCTATTTTAGATATCACCAAATTGATTTCCATAGTGGCTGTACATACCTACAGGTCCACCAGGAGTGGACGAGAATTCCTATCTCCCCAAACCCCTCCAACACTTGTTACTCTCTGACTTTTTGAATTGGGCTATCTTTGAGGGGGTTAGGTGGTATCTCATTGTTGTTTTAATTTGCATTTCTCTTATGGCTAATGATCAGGAACATTTCTCATATGTTTATTGGCCATTCAGATTTCTGCCCTTGTGAAACTTCCATTCAGGTCCTTTGCCCACCTCCTCAGTGGGCAGTTAGTTTTTCTTTTATTGTAAGCTAGCAGAGTACTGCAGATTTTAGTAATAAGGCCTTTGTCTGATGTGTCATTGCTAAAGATGTTTTCCCAGTTGGTGGGCTCTCTTATCACTCTCTTGATGAATTCTTTCAATGTACACAAATGTTTTATCTTCAGTATATCCCACTTGTCAATTTGTGACTCCTCTGTATTTGTATCCTCCCCTGTTTCTGATAGCCAAGTATTCCCTGTGCCAAGGTGTGTTAGTCTGGGTACTTTAGAGAAACAAATTCACAGAAACACATATGTATAAGAGAGTTTTATGTAAAGGGTAAGTACATATCAAGAAAACATCCCAACCCAGTACTGCCCAAGCCCACAAGTCCAACATTAGCCCACATATCTGACACCCATCCACAAAGACATCCTCCATCTCACAAAACACACGCAATGATGCTGACTGCAGGAGGAAAGCTGAATCAGTGAATGTGTAAGCATTTCAGTGCTGGCAAGGGTCTCGACGTGGCAGCTCCAACACCCAGGGCTGCATTGGGGTAGGTCCATGTGGCTTCTCCTCAGGGATGTCTTGCAGTAAGTGAGCCTTGCCTGCCCAAGCAGGGAACTAGTTAAGGCAGCTTCACCCTGGTCCAAACATCAGAAAGCAAGAGACTCAAGAACTAGAAAGGCCAGGCTCACTGAGCCATTTATCTCACCACCCTTCAATTAAACCCACATGTGTTTATCAGCCAGGTTGGCACAATAAAGTTTAAGTATCTCACAAGGTTCTCAGGTTTGTCCCAATTCCTTCATTAATGGCCCTAATAATTTGGGCTTTTACCTCAGGGTCTCTAATCCACCTCGAGTTTATTCTTGTGCGTGGAGTGAGGTAAGGGTCTTGCTTCATTTTTCTGCAGGTAAATACCCATTTTTTCCAGCACCACTTATTGAAGAGAGTATCCGCTTCCCATTTGCTATTTTTGGGTGCCCTTATAAAAAAATCAGTTGTCTGTATGCTGATGTTTTTATTTCTGGATTTTTAGCTCTTTTCCATTGTTCTGAATATCTGTCATACCAGTACCACACTGTTTTGACCACTGGGGCTGTATAATATGTACTAAAGTCAGGTAGAGCAAGTCCTCCCACTGTGTCCTTCTTCTTGAGGAGTCCTCTGCTAATTCTGGGCTTCTTCCCACTCCATGTAAAGTTGGCAATCAGTTTTTCCAATTCTTTGAAGAAGGATGATGGTATTCGTATCAGGATAGTATTTAACTTATATGATGCCTTGGGCAGAACTGACATCTTTACTATATTGAGTCTTCCAATCCACAAGCAATCTTCCATTTGTTGAGGTCACTCTTGGTTTCTTGTAATAGTGTTCTGTAGTTTTCCTCATACAAATCTTTTTTTTTTAGTCAAGTATATTCATAGTTATTTCAATTTGTGCTTGCTTATTGTAAAAGGTGCTACCTTTTTAATTCCCTCTTCTGTGATCTTGTCTGCTGTGTATAGCAGACTGATAGACTTTTGTTTGTTTGTCTTGTATCCTGCCCCTCTGCCATATTCCTCTATTGCTTCCAACACTCCACTTGTGGAGTTTTGGGGATTTTTTATATATAAAATAATATTGCCTGAAAATATTGATAGTTTTGCCTCTTCCTTCCCCAGACAAATACCTTTGATGTCTTTTCATTGTCTTAGGTTGTTAGCTAGGACCTCCAGTACGATGCTATCATTTAACAATTTCTTGTTTAATGACATTGGTTACACTTTTTTATCACACCAAAAGAAAGCAGAAAACAATGAAAAATTGGGTTAAATGATAAGATATTAAATTTCAACCTAAGCATATTTGCATTAATTCACATTCTGATATATTTTGTCTGAGGGTAAGGCTTTGTACATCTCTGGTCAATAGTCCAACAGTATTCAATGGAGGCTTACAGTGAACTTATCGCGGTTAATCGGTTCTAGACCCTACCGTGATAAATGAAATTCTGCGAAGTAGGATTCCTTATTCAAGTCGAAATGGCGTGCAACCTCCACGATTTTCTTGCCATCTTTGATTATATCCAAAAGTTTTACCTTTTCCTGGATGGTGAGCATCTTCCTCTGGTGCTTATTTTTATTGTCAGAAGGCTTAGAAGAAGCAGCTCGTTTAGGAGCCATCATAGGGCTTAGATAAAATTTCTTAAAAATCGCAAACAATTACAGTACACTGTCCAAATGCAAAAATGCATCTGATACGTAGATCCAATACATAGCGATGCAGACAGAAGCGTGTACAGTATGAGCCAATCAGTGGCAGTAATGACAGAGCATGCGCTGTCACGCAAGAACCGCGATAGAGTGAAGCCGCGGAAGTCGAAGCGCGAAGTGGCGAGGGTTCACTGTATTCCCCACGGGGTCTCTGCAATTGGATTTTGGGCGCTCACTGCCTTTCGTAACCTTCTACAAACCAGGTGCTCAGAATTTAAGCTCTAGTACGTTTCCCTCTTCTGATCTTGGATTTTGCTATTCACAATCCTTGGATCCCATAGGCTGATGTGCTTCTGTGTGAACTTAGCCGACGTCTCACTTAGATGGCTGTGCATTTTCTTTTCTTGTAAGGCTTTTGTCAGGTTTTGCTATCAAGTTTATGCTGCCCTCATAAAACAAATTGGAAAGTGATTTCTCTTTTTCTCTTCTCCGGAAGACAATCTAAGATTGACATTATTTCTTACTTAAATTAAGAATGCACACACATCAGTGAAGCCGTTGGGAAACAAGTTTTTCTTGGCTGATAAGAGTTTTCATTTTGGATTAATCATAAATGTCTAATTTTCTCACTTCATCTTATGTCAGCTGTAGTAATTTGTTTTCTTAAAAATTGGTTTATTAAACCTAAATTCTAAGGTTTATTGATATACTATTGTTCATGATATTGCATTTCCCTTTTCTTTTAAAAAATATTTCATTGTTTGAGGTGAAAATTTATGTGGCAAATAGATTCACATTTAGCTTAAAAATTTATTTTGGTTGGGTGGAAATGTACAGAAGCAAATTCGTTTTCCACTCAGTAATGTACATTTTGTGTCTTGATTACCTGTAATCCCCTCAAGGTAACAACCCTTTCCCCACTTACTTCTAGGTTCTCCTGTTCCCATTCGTCCTCCTTACCTGTCCCTTCCTGCCTTCCGAGATTTGTTTCGGGGCAATGCTGTCCGTTTGTCCTCCTATGGTTGATGGTTCTGAGTATATTTCTCAGAATGTTAGTGTTCAGTTTATAGGCCTGGCTATTGTTTGGCTGAAAGGTGATCTCCTGGGTTTAAGGTAGGGAGATGGGGGTGGGAGTGGGGTTTCATTTCCAAGTTTGACTGGTGTTATAGTATTGGAGAATTCATCAATCTTGATCAGATTAATAGGCATGGACTTTTTCTTTTTATTATTTTGGAGCTTTTCACGTTCTATTGAATCTGTAGTGGTTTTCCATTTTTCATTCCTAATATTATTTGTACTGCTCTCTCTTTACCTTTGGTGCTCTTGTCAGAAATTTCTTAATTTTGCCAGACTTTCTAAATGACCAGCATTTGGCCTTCTTGATCCCTTTTATTAGATAGTTTCTATTTCATTAATTCTGCTTTTATATGTACTTTTCCTTTCCTTTCGTTTCTTGTTATTTAATTTGATATTTTTTCATTTAGATAATTAAGATGATTAGCTATCAGTTTTTTCCTAATAAATGTTTAAGGCTATACATTTCACTCTAGGTATGTTAGCTATATATCACAAGTCTCAATATGTAATTGTCATGACATTCGGTTCAAAAATAATTTCCAATACCATTATAAATTTCTTCTTTGGTCCATGGAATAGCTAGAAGTATATTTCCTATTTTCCAATTCTATGGATTTTTAGCGTTGTCTGTTGGATATTAATTTCTAACTTAAATGCACTGAAACCAAAGAACATAACTTTGAGTGCTTCCTTTATGTCAGTTATTGGTGATAAATTATCTCTGTTTTTGCCTTAAAACGTTCTGGAGTGTCAAGGAAGGGGCCAGGCATTCACATGAAGACTTCTTTCAAATATTTACATTATTTCTAGTCTCTCTGAGGTAATTAGCAAGGATCAGGAAAGAGGGGAGGAAAGAGGGAGGCTGTCCCTGGAGAGAACTGTCTCTGTCTACCCTGAATCCCGCTGTTGAGGAAACCTGAGCACCCTCAGGTACTCTCTACTTTGCAGGTCTCCATCGCCTGTCGCTCAGCTCAGGTCCTTCTGCACTACTTCGTGGGTGCCAATTACTCATGGCTGCTGGTTGAAGGCCTTTATCTTCACACACTGCTGGGGCCCACAATGTTTTCTGAAAGACGCCTATGGCCCAGATACCTGCTTGTGGGTTGGGGTGAGTGAACTGAACTCCCAACCTCTTTCTTTGGATGTCCATGAGATGATGGGAGCCTGAGAGAGCCTTTGGTTAGAGTTAGAGACCCATCACCAAACCACAGCACCATCAATCACACAACCGGAAACACCACCACTGTAATTATCAACAACATCACTGTTTTTTTAAATCATTCTATTAGGGGCTCATACAACTCTTATCACAATCCATATATACATCAATTGTGTAAAGCACATTTGTACATTCATTGCCCTCATCATTCTCAAAACATTTCCTCTCCACTTAAACCCCCAGCATCAGCTCCTTATTTTTCCCCCTCCCTCCCCGCTCTCCACTCCCTTATGAACCCTTGATAATTCATAAATTATTATTTTGTCATATCTTACAGTGTCCAACATCTCCCTTCACCCACTTTTCTGTTGCCCATCCCCCAGGGAGGAGGTCACATGTAGATCCTTGTAATCGGTTCCCCCTACAACATCACTATTACCAACACTGTCATCACCCACCAACACCACTATTGTAATCAATACCATCAGCACCCCTGTCACTATCAACACTATCATTACTGCCAATGATAACACCATCATCAATAACACCATTATCATTATACTATCACTAACACCAACACCACTTGATATCATCAAAGCTATCATCACTACCATTATCAATACCATCAATACCACCACCACCACCATTACTACTATCGTTACCGAAAATAGCACCATGCAATTAGCAACAACATCATCAGTACTACTACCACCATCACCAGTAACAACACTATTAAGAATTCCTCAAGGACAATTGACAAGAGACTCTAGACCAGTGGTTCTCAACCTTCCTAATGCCGTGACCCTTTAAAACAGTTCCTCAAGTTGTGGTGACTCCCAACCATAAAATTATTTTCGTTGCTACTTCATAACTGTAATTTTGCTACTCTTATGAATTGGGCAACCCCTGGGAAAGGGGTAGCGACCCACAGGCCGAGAACCGCTGCTTAGAGGGAGGCATGTAAGGTGTGTGTATGTAAACATATGCCAATGACCCAATGCACATGTAAGAGTCGAGAAGATATTTTTGTGGAATCAGATGCAATTTCTTTCACTTTGTCAACAACTAAGTTTTCGAGATGAGGTTTTCTGGATTAAAAAAAAAAAAAAGACCAGATCTAGAACCCTTGTTTTTACAAACTGTTGGAGAATTTGATGCCATAGGATTTCAAGCAAATCAAAAAGGCCTGTGATTCAGGAGGTCCTTGGTTAGTACACATAGTTTTCACTCCACTACTAACCTAAAGGCTAGCAGTCTGAACCCACCCAGAGGCACATGAGAGACCTGGTGGTCTCCTGTCGTTTTCCCATAGCCAGTAAAACCCTATGGGAAACTCTACTTTATAGCTTGTGGGTTTGCCATGTGTCCGAATCGACCTGACAGCAATGGCGTTGGTGATTCAGGACATTTTGATTGCTATCCCCAGATACTCTCCAAACGACTCCAAACTAGTCAGATGGCAAATCTCTTCTCTCTGGGTTTGGGTTACTCTATGATGTCCTGTCTCATCAGTCCCCACGGCCCCTGGCTTACCATGTTTGGGTTTTGGGGTAAGTTTTAACCAACTATGCTTTGCATCATCAGGGTGGGAGGCAGGCAGATTTGGCCCATCAGCGACTGACGTCATTTCCTTTTGTTTTCTCCTCAGGCTTCCCTGTGCTATCTGTTGTCTCTTGGGGTGTGGTCCGTGCCCAGCTGGAGAACACAGGGTAGGTTATTCACCTCACCTGGCTTTCTGCTTCCCAGAGCCTGTATTTCCCAGACACGCCCAACTCGGAGGAAGCACACCAGCTTGTCGCAAAGACTGTTCTGCCCTCTCTTGTCGCAGCCATCTTGTGTATTTAAATTTTAGGAATGTAGATAAAGTAGTCAGTAATTAGTTTATTCAGGTAGTTTACTCAAGCGAATTAGCACAAAGAGGCTGCATAGATGAGCTGTGACACTGGGTGTGTAAGGATGTACAAATAGGAACGTCAACCATCCTTTTCTGGGGGTTGCGCTACTATCCAATGAACGCTTAGTGAGGGTAGTACGGCTAACGCCTACGCAACACACTCGCATTAGTTAAAGCTCTGCTTTATTTTGATGCAATTTTTGGAAAAAAGAAAAAAACAAATAGGAATGGTTACTGCAACATTATTTTACAGTCGGGGGGATATCATAAGATGGAAAAATGGAAACCAAAAACCCTAGACTGTTCATCCATAGGGGAACCATTGATAAAGCAGTCATGGGTCTACATTTTAGGCCCATATTATGAGGTTTGCTCAAACTTTAGTTCTATATCTTTTTACTTATAGGCATTGAATTTCAGTACCAAGCCCTTTATTCTGTTGTTAAATAATACATATCTATGAGCCCATCTTTTCCCCTCCAAACAATTACCACCACCAAAAACCAACCAACCAACCAAACAAACAAAACACCCCCCAAAACAAAACCACCCTACTTAGCTAAAGATATATGTTTATGTGCTTGTATGAATGTAGAGAAAGACATGACAGGATGCACACCAGGTGTTAATACTGGAGAACAAGTTGATGGCAAGAAAAGTCCGCAATGCTAGTCACGGCAGGAAGTGCTTTGAGTTCTTTACTGCCTCTCAGGTGGATGATTGTGGAAAGCAGGCATGTGAGTGAGCACCCTTTTCCCATAGGGCATGTGACGTTTCCATTGCACCAGGTCTTGATTGGAAGTATTGCCCTTCTGCTCCTTCTCCTTAGGTGCTGGGGAATCAATGGGAACAAGGCAGTCTGGTGGATCATCCGAGGACCTGTGCTGCTGTGTATAACAGTAAGGGTCACCTAATCCTCCCTTTCTTCTTGGTGCTCAGCAGCCGTGGGACACTCCCCAGTCCAGTCCAGTTCTCGGGCTCAGAATGCATCTGCACTAGATCCCTTGAGAAGGAGCATCTGCTCTCTGGGCAGGATCTTTTGAATGAGAAGAAATACGTTCAGATCTTCTCTTGGTCTGTTTTAGCAACTAAGTTCAGGGTTGGACTTTAAGACTCCTTCTTGGATTTTCAAACCATGTAAAAAAATAAGTAGTGGGTTCAACTCAGTGAACCTGTATTGAAAGGATGTGATAGGTAGAAGGCCCTGGGGAAACACGTGGTCTCATCCATAGGGAAGTTCAGAGAGAGTAGCACATTGCAAAGATGCTGTGGAGAGAGTCCTCTCTGACTTCCTTTGACAGGCTTCCCGGTGGCTACGAAGCAGAGGTCAGATCTGCCTCCACTCTCCATCTTTCTTTACCTATTCTGGCAGCAACTCTTCCTCCCACAGCACTCCAGCTCTCTGCTGGGGTCAATAACTTGTTGCAATAGTCACACAGGACTCACCAACAACATTCACAGTTAGGGGAGCGTTATTAGGGAAGTGAACAGGCTATCACACGTCGGAATCATAAAACATTAAGGACACAGTCTTCGGTCCACAGCAGTGCGTCTCCTCAGCCAGTGTCTCTCTGGCCCCCAGCTTCTCCACCACGTGGTTTCTTGACCTTTGTCTCTGTGGGCTAGGAAGGAAGCCCACCCTCTGTGCCCAAGTAGAGTCATATATTAGATTCAAGGTTAGGAATTCCACATCTATCTGTGGGAAACACAATTCAATCTGCCTCTCCTCTGGTATCAAATCTGTCTCCCGCCCAAATCAAGGAGATTAAATGGGGTCCAAGGAATGTACTCTACTCCTGGATCTTTACGCTTGCTGGGAGTGAAATTCCCCATATTGCTTCTGAGATGGCTGCTTTTATACCCCCAAAGGATGGCAATCATAATTAGTCCATTGGTGGTCACTCACAGGTGAATCATACAGTCTAATCAAGACCTTCTCCCACCTTTTTATCCAGGTCCATCAGGAAAGCTAAGGTTATTTGGTGGGAGTAACAAGGCTATGGCTCCAAGAGCCATATTAAATAATTCACTGCACTGCACCAACCCAGGCTAACGGACTCAGCTCCTACTATGTCGAGCTGCCTTAGTGTTGAACTTTCATTCATCCATTTTTTCATGCACGTCCATTTAGCATTTAACGCAGTGGGTTGTGACCCCTTTGGAAGTCGAACGACCCTTTCACAGGGGTCGCCTGATTCATAACAGTAGTAAAATGACAGTTATGAAGTAGCAACAAAAATAAATTTATGTTTGGGGGGGTCACCACAACACGAGGAATTATATTAAAAGGTCACAGGATGAGGAAGGTTGAGAACCACTGATTTAACAAGCACCTTCTCTGTGCTTGGCTTGGCACTCAATACTGTGGGGTGGGGGTGAGGAGTGATGGATGCTCCCATAGAATCTGCCCATAGGGAATTCAGGATCTAATAATTTCCATTCTTAGACACATTCAACCATAATTGAGCCAATATGGGCCCTCATGCTTCTGTAGTTTTCACCTAAGTAGACATGACCCCATCTCCAAAATAAAATTGCATGGCCCTACATTTTTCTAGTTAAACTGGAGTACAAGAAGGTAACATAATATTGAAGATCTGAGAGGATTTAACACATCAGGCATCTTCACAAAATTCTTTTATCTTGGCCAAATTTGAGCCTATGCCCTGTTTTCTGAAGCAAGGAGCCGAGGTGTGGGAAACTGAGAACTAGGAAGAGAGTGTGTGTTAGTTACATGTATATCAGAAAGAGGTTTATATACAAGAACAATTGAATATAGAGAAAACACCCCAGCCCAGTCCAGATAAAGTCCATAAGTCCAATATTAGCTCATATGTCCAATACCAATCTATAAAGTCCTCTTCCGACTCACGAAACACATGCAATGATGCCAATACAGGAGGATCACAGGCCAGTGGGTTGGAAGTCTTGTGGATCCAGTGGCGTTGTAAGCATCTCAGTGCTGGCAGGGGCCCCTCCGTGGCTTCTCCAGCTCCAGAGGTCTGGTTGCATCAGGGTAGGTCCATGTGGCTTCTCCAGCTCCCAGGGTGTAGCGCCATGTGTCTTGTCAGTAGAGCAGCTTTCAGGGAGTGAGGAGAGAAGGAGAGAGAGCAAAAGTCTCTCCTGACTCCAAGGAAGAAATTCAAGAATTCCCAGAATCCTCAGGAGGCCATGCCCACACAGAAGCCTCATTGGACATGACCCGATTGATTGACAGACTAGACTCCACCCCTTTACTCTTAATCCTCTCAAGCCTCAAATTGACACCAGATTATATAACTTCCACAGAGTGGATTCGGACAAATTCTCTATGCTCATATGTTAAAGAGTCTGGGAGGCTGGGGATCTTGTGGAGGGAGGCCCTCACATTCATGGGTTGGAGTTGAATCCCAGTCACATTCTCCTAAGTAAAAATTATTCCCCATGATGCCCTCCCCCCATAATAATGCCAATTTTAAGGTGCTACCTGCAAGCACATGGTTGCTTTCTATACTGTTGAAGTTTAACTGCTTGAAGGCTATCTGCCTGAAGGTGTCTGTCATCCAGAACAATCAGACCATATTTTCTGTCCCACCCAAAGTAGGCCCACTTCCTTCGGATAAGGATCATAGATTTTTTTCCCCCTGGAGAATTGCTCAGGGGAACTTAAGGTCAAGCCAGCTCAAGGTTGAGACAATCGAGGTTGGTCCTCCATCATAGCTCTAGAACCTGCCTATCTTGTTATGTATGTACCCTCCTGTTACATGCATGCCTCTAGTACCTCCCCTACCTATGATGTGTATACCCCTAGCTTGTCTCCCTCCTGTTATGTGTGTGACTGTAATACAACCCCGGCCTGTTACGTATATGCTTACTGTGGTTTGCATGCCGGGAACTATACAAGCTGGTGAAAGAATCCATCATTCTGGATCCAGTCACCATGGAAGAGGTGAGCCCTTGCATATCTCGTCTGTCTCTTTAATTTCTCCTTCAACTGCCCCTTGGACTCCTTTGGATGTGCAGAGGTTTCAAGGGGAAATACAAGGTCAATAGAGTAGAGGGATCATGGAGAGTTTCTTTCTTTCTAATCATTTTATTGGGGGCTATATAACTCTTATCACAATCCATGGAGAGTTTCTTGTGCCATAGCCAGGCTCCCCGGGGAGCATCACTGCCTTGATCAGGCCTTTTCCACCATCCCTCAGACTACATTTTCATTGACTGATCCTGCTGGGTTTTCAGACAGATCAGCAGACTTTATCTGCTGGTCTGTTGGTACAAGATTCCCAATGTTTCAGAAATGGCCATGATGTGACATTCAATAGAGCCCAGATGTTCTGTGAATCTTCCAGGCTCTGAAAGATACAAGAAATCACTATTTAAATTAACCTCTTATTCTTGGGTGTATATTTATAGTTGAAATACATGGTAGGTGCTGATATTCTAATGTCTCCTCTCCTAGTAAAAAATTGGTAGGACCTTGATTAGTACAACTCTCCAAGGGTAGCCTTAGGAGAGAATTACAAAGTACAAAGGCATTCTATCCATATCCTGCTCCCTCTGGTACCCGCAATGGCTGGATTGAGCAATGTGGGCAGATGCCCTCTTGAAAGGCTTTCTTGAGCCATTGAGTAGCTGGTACCATCTGTTATTGCGAAATCACAAAGTCAAATGTCTTCATTCACTTTTATTGAGTCTTCTGTGACTGCCTCAGAACTTGGCAAAATTAGTCATTCCTATCTTGTACCTCTCTCTGTCCTCTACCCTAACAGTAATGCAGTGCATTTCAGAAATATCAGACTCCTATATTTCTCTCCTCTGAAGAGGAGCCCTGGTGGTATAGTGGGTTACACGCTAGGCTGCTAACAGCAAGGTCAGCAGTTTGAAACCACCAGCTGCTCCATGGGAGAAAGACAAAGCTTCCTATTTCCAAAAAGAATTTCAGTCTCAGAAACCCACTCTGTCCTATAGGGTTACTATGAGTTGGAATCGACTAGATAGCAGTGAGTTTGAATTTTTCATTTGGAGAGTTTTCGTGGACATTTCCCCAGACCTAGGATTTCCCCTCCCCATCAGCACTTAACCCTCGTGGCATTCTGTCTTCTGCTTTCCATGGCGAGAGTGACAGATCCTAAGTATTTGCCCAGTTCTTCGTTATTGTCCAACGGAATGAATGGATGTGGGAAGGAAGGAAGGGAGGATAGAAGTGGGTACTTTTTCATGTTTAGCCATTTCTTACTTTCTGTGTGATCTGTGTACTTGAGCTCAGGGAAGAAATATTTTCAGTAAAGGAGAAACTCTATGGTAGGAGTGTTTAGTCTACATAGCAAGTCATGGGAGGAGGGTTTGCAGAGTAGGTTAAAGAGTTTAGGGGTAAGTACGAGTTTGAAGTTGATGGATCCCATCATGCTAGACCTATGTCTGTGCACCAAAAGAGTGTCAAGAAGCACGCTGCGCTTCAGAATGCATTCTGTCGTGTCCAGGGCATAGGAAGGGGGCCTTTGTGTTCAAGGACCTAAGTGTTTCTGTCCTGGTGACAGAATCTTAGTTCCCAATTGGTTCTTGAAAAATCTTCCCGATCAGCCTGCTTGTATACAAATGAAGAAGGAAAAACAGACAAATAAACAGGTTGCTGTCGATGTGAGTCTAACTTGTGGCACCTCTATGTGTATCAGAGCAAGACTGTGCTCTGTAGGGTTTTCTTGGCTCCAGTGTAATGGAAGCAGATCTCCGGGTCTCTCTTCCATTGTGATCTGGGGGTAGGTTCAAACTGCTAACCTTTTGGGTGGGAGCTGAGAACAAACCCAGAACCTAAATGAAAAGTAACACAACCCAAAAGTCATCACGTTTCCTGTGTTGGTCTGGGTGGACTGGAGAAACACATTCATAGACACTCATGTGTGTAAGAAAGAGATTTATATACAAGAGCAGTTGAACATTGAGAAAACACCCCAGCCCAGTCCAGATCAAGTCCATAAGTCTGATATTAGCCCATATGCCTGATATCAATCTATAAAGTCCTTTTCAGACTCACGAAACACATGCAATGAAGCCAAATGCAGGACGATCACAAGCCAGTGGGTAGAAGGTCTTTGGGTCCAGTGGCGTTGTAAGCATCTCAGTGCTGGCAGGGTCTCTCTGTGGCTTCTCCCGCTTCTGAGGTCTGGTTGTGTCCATGTGGCTTGTCTTCTGCAATGTCTCCCAGGGAGTAGCAGAGAGAGAGGTGTCTTCTGCCTCCAAGGAGGAATTGCTAGATTTCCCAGAATTCTCAGGAGAAGCGCATGCCCACAGAAGTCTCATTGGCTATCTCCAGACTGACAGCCTAGACGCCACCCCTACACTCTTAATCCTTAAACTGACACCAGACTAGGGGCCTACCACATTTCCTTTGGACTCAATCCTTTTGAGAGGTCTCCTGGTAACACATGCTGATACCATAGCCGCATGGAAGTGTTTCCTCCATGTGGCTACTTGACTTATGCCCATTTCTCTTGTTTGGTCTCTGGAAGACACAAAGAACAGCAAACCAACATGCTTCTCATGACAACCCTTCATTTCTTTGGAGACAGTCCTGCTTGCAAGTCAGTCACTGAAATCGGTGCCTTTCCCCTAGTGTGAATCAGGTCTGCTTAGAGGGCAACCCTTCTGGGAAGTTTTCCCTGGAAACATCATCGGGGACTAGTGTCCTCATAGGTGTGTGATGGTAACCTGCCCACTCCTCCATCACATCACACCATCCTATGTTTTGTGGTGGACCCAGTAGGCTGTGAGCATATCAAGGGCAAGATCTGGTCTTCCAGCTCTTAGACTTCAGAGTCTAGCACAGACCCTGGCACACAGTATAGTTTCTTAATAATCGGTGGCTGAAAGAAGAAAACATACACACAATTTCTCCTACAACTTCCCTCTGTGCTCTTGTTCTCCTCAGCTTGCCCCTCTGTTTACTGTTTCAGACAGTTCCTGAGGATTCACTTCGAATGTCACATTCTATCCTATTCTTTGGATTAGATGTGATTAACTAGACTCGAACTCACAGTCAAGGGGAGAGGCATTGGGAGCTACCTTTGGCTCTTCCCACGTCCTTTCATCCTGTCAAAATGTTCTGTCTTTGTCCTGTTCACCGGTTTCTTCCTTCTGAAGCTGTTCGGTTCTCTTTCTTCCTCCCACTTAGTTTGTAGCCCCTCCCTGATCTCTTTCTCTCCAGATCCAGACTCCATATTGTCTTCCCATGATGCTCCACCTCCACCATCAAGGCGTGATGAGTTCATTATTGAGGTGTAATAAATTACCCCAAGACATATGACTTAGAGCAATAATGAACACATCTCATCTCGTTATTGTGAGGAAGGAATTTGGGCGTGGCTGAAGTGGGTGGTTTGGGCTCCGGATCTCTCAAAAGAACAAGGTTGCCGTCAAGATGGTGGCCAAGTTTGCAGCTCTCTGAAGGCTAGCCAGAAGTAGGAAGAGCTGCTTCTACAATGGCCAACACACGTCTGACAAATGATGCTAGTTATTGGCAGGGAGGTCCCAATTCTTTCCATCCCGGTCTCTATGCATGCTGCTTGAGGATGCTAACATGGCAGTCGGCTTTCCCCAGAGTGAGAAATCTAAGCGAGAATTGCAGAGTGGGGGAGGGGAGGTGGGAGTGAGGGTGGGGGTGGGGAGGCATGATGGAAGCCATTCTTTTGAGGTTGTCATCTCAGAACTCACATATATCATTTGTATCATGTTCTATCCATCATTTGTATCATAGTCTAGCCATTAAATCTATCTCATGTTCAGGGGAAGGGAATTGGACTCTGCTTTTGGAAGGGAGAAATATCAATGAGTGTGTAGATGTATTTTCAAGTTTCTACCAAGGCTGCTAGTAAAGCACAGAATTTGCCCAGTCCATGATGTGTGTGAAAAGCAGTCTTTCAATGAAGGGCAAGACAGCAACAGGACCTCAAGTTAGCTACAGATAGTGCCGGAGTTCTTTCTAGAAGAGAGCCATTGTGGCATTTTGTCTAGAGAAAGCGGCGTGTAATCAGATAAATGTCCATTTAAATACTGACTCACCACTTCCTACTGCTGGGGGTTATACTTATCTCCTCTGTACTGTTTTCTCTTTGCCAGGTAAGGCTAGTTGTGTCTATTAGAGGGTTGTTATGATGGTTAGATACAATAATGTGTGAGAAGTTCTTCTATCAATAAGTGGCATGATAAGTGCTCAGTGAATGTTCATAACAATAATGTAAATGTGCAGCTGTCTCTCTCGGATGGCTTTAGTGGTGGGCCTCCCTAAGCGACTTTTCAAGATCCTTTCTAAAGTCTCCATTCAAATAGGCTTTGGAACAGTGGGAATTACTACCTGGCTGGCTGATAGTCAGATAGTCCCAGGTGAACGTGAATAAGAAACGGATCGTCAAGTCCAAGGGGACCTTGACACTCATGGCTAGATGGAGACCATCATTTACTTACCCACTTCTGCGGCTTTTTTGTGTTTTGTTTTCCAGGTGAATTTCTTAATCTTCCTGAAAATTCTCAAGCTTCTCATCTCTAAGCTCAAAGCCCATCAAATGTGCTTCAAAGATTATAAATACAGGTGCGTGTTCTGAGGTCAGTAGTCTGTGGCTGAAAGCTGTTTCGAGCCCTCTGGCATTTCTGCATAATGTTTAGAGGAGGGTCCAAGTTTCAGGGTATGTGTCTTTCCTAAGGTTGAGCGTGTCAGGGAGAGCGCCCCTGTAAAAAGGTCTCATGGAGTCATGCGGGACTTTGGAATCACCAGGTAAGGACATTCTGAGCCCATGAACATGAAGTACTGAGAAGCCAAGGACACACGCGTTTTCCCAGCAGGAAATGTTTACAATATCTCTCAGAAGAGATGGCTTGTGGTGAAGGAAGTTGACTTCCTTGGGGTCTGCAATGAGGATCAGTCATGGCCCGGAAAGTGGGAGCCGAGGAAGAGGATTCATTCTGAGGGCCCATATTGGTCATAAAGTGTCTTATGCTTAACGCCAGAAGACCCAAGCCCCCACAGTGGTCATGGGACTATTGCAAAGCAGAGTAGCTGGCATGGAAGGATGACTTGACAAGCCATCACTGTCCCAAGGTACCCCCTTCCCTGCGAGAGGAGACCTCGTTCCCCAGATTCAGTACCTCGGGCACAGGAGAGTCAGTAAGCAACTTGACATCGAGTTGACAGGGACTTATAGGGACGCATGCGCGTCAGAGTAGACCTGTGTGCCCTGGCATTTTCAATGGCAATGTTTTCAGAAGTAGATCACCAGGCCGTTCTTCAGAAGCATCGCTGGCTGTGCTTGAACCTCCAGGAAGTGTAAGGTGGAATCAGTACGTAGAGTAGTCTGCTTCTTTGTGCTTTCCTCTCACCGTTTTGGTTGGCCATCTCTTTTCTTATTTATTTGTTCTCTGTGCCGAGTATAATATAATTGATTACAAAAACGTCCCTGTCATCAAGTTGATTCGGACTCATCATAACGACCCTTTAAGGCGGATTAGAACTGCCCTTGTGTGGTTCCAAGACTGCAACTCTTGATGAGAGTAGAAAGCCTCCTTTTTCTCCTGAGGGGAAAGTGGTGGTGTCAAACTGTTGACCTTGTAACCCAACACATGTAACCCACTATGCCACCAGCTTGATGCCTATTAAGTATCAAAAAGATTAGGGCCTGTCTCTCAGGACACATTCAGACCACTTGACTGTACTCCCTTGCCTACGGGATCTTACAGCATCTGTGAGCACAATTTGCGCAGAAAGTAGTGCTAATTCTCTCATTTCCAAGTTCTGGGAGGTCAACAAACTGTCACCCCAGTGGATCATCAAGCAGTTCACCCTGCCCTCTTCCATGTTAGAAGGCTGCTTCCAGACCCCATTGCCTGTGATGTTTGTTTTCTTGAGGTGCCCTACTGGGGTCAGGAAGAGGGGACCCATTAGTCTCACTCATTTTTCCTGAACTCTAGTAGGAACAACCTTGCCTCTGGGGCTCCAAGATTTTGAGAAATGTCAGAATGCAGCTCTCAAGATTTGGCCCCCCACCAGAAGTATGTTTTAGGAACATTTAAGTTAAACACATTTGGGCCCTGCCCAAAAGGCAAGTTGCTAGGAGCCAGAGAACTTTCTGGATGCTCGTCCTGGTCCCAGTCAAGTGGAGGAAATTGTAAATGGCTCGGTTGTCTGGCCCGAAGAGGGAGAACTGAGACAATTGTGAAGGAAGGCCTTCAGGGCTGTAAACAGTGAAAGTCGTGCCCGGACAGAGACGAGAGGACACTTGGCTGAGCCAGTCCTGGGGGTCCTTGGCATGGCTGCTGTGTTCTGCCCCTACACAAAGTTCTTACTTGTGGAAATGAAGGGCAGGCAGAACTTTCAGAGAATGTATTGGTCATTCTATTGTAAAGGTGGAGCCCTGGTGGTGTGGTGGGTTACCTGTTGGGCTGTTGGGTTACAACAATGGTTTTCAACCTGTGGGTAGTGACCCTTTGGGGGGGTGGGGCGAACGACCCTTTCACAGGGGTCGCCTGATTCATAACAGTAGCAAAATGACAGTGATGAAGTAGCAACGAGAATGATTGTATGGTTGGGGGCTCACCACAACATGAGGAACTGTATGAAAGGGCCATGGCATGAGGAAGGTTGAGAACCACTGGGATACAAGGTCAGCTGTTTAAAACCACTAGCTGCTCCTCAGGTGAAAGGTTAAACTTTCTGCTCCTGCATCAATTTATAGCCTTGGAAACCCAAAGGGGCAGTTCTTCGCTGTCTTATGACAGGTTCTATGAGATGGAATCAGCTCAATGACTGAGGTTGATTTTTGAGTTCTGGTCTATCATAAATGGAAGCTTGCTAGGCGTTTCTTCTGAGGTGCCTCTGGGTAGACTTGAGGAGCCAGTCTTCTGGTGAGCAGCTGAGGGCATTAACTGTTTGACCCACCCAGGGACTCCACAATATAGCATCAGTGTGCCACAGGTTGATCGAAGTCTTTGAGATTGCAAGTGGTGAAAGCAAAGACTAATGACATCCTTAGAGACACTCATAGCTAATGTTGACTGACCACCTATCGGGTGTCAGGTGCTGCTTATTCATTCCAACCTCACAATGACACCACTAAGTAGGTGCTGTTATCATCATCATCCTCAGTTTACAGAAGATGAAACGAACACAGAGGTTAAACAAGGTTATACGGGGGGGTAGGCAAAAAAAATTCCAGAATTTCTTTTCAGAGCTATTATTTAAATTTTTTTTTTACAAAACAACCTATCACCTTCAAAGTACTCTCCATTAGACTTAAAAACATTCTTCCAATCTGTGATTCCATTCTTGGAAACATTTTTCAAACTCATCTGTTTGAATGACTGACAGCACCTCTCTCCTTTTTTTCTTCACCTCTTCTACACTGTCAAATCACTCTCCTTTCATGTCCCTTTCCATTCACGGAAACAAAAAGAAGTCTTATGGAGTGAGGTCAGATGACTAAGGTGTGTGGGGCAAGAGGCATGCTGAGTTTTGCTAAAAACTGGTGCACAGGGATGGCTGTGTGAGCAAGTGCATTGTCCTGGTGGCAAAACCAGTCCCCCGTCTGCCACAAATCAGGCCTTTTTTGGGCCACACAATTACACAATCTTTTCAGAACCTCTAGCTAGAAAGTTTGGTGGAATGAACTCCAACTGCACTCAGAGCCAACATTTTCGTTCGTTCAGGAAGTTGATGGACGTCCAGAATGAGGTTTCTCATCCATTGACATTTCACTTTTTTGGAAATGAGAAAACCACTCGGACACTTGAGTTTTTCCCATAGCACTATTCTTGTGTGTTCCATATCACAACAGTTTCTGCGGCACTTTTCCCGAGCAAGTAACAAAACGTTGTGGCTGTGTGCTGTTCTCTGAAATTGGGCATCCCATAAAAGGGGGTTAGAGCAAAACTGCTTTTACAAACAAATTCGCTGTGACCGGAGAGAACCTTCTCAGGTGACCCCACTGTGGGAAAAATGCATACTACAAAAGCTCCATTCTGCCCAGTGCAATTCCAGTTTTGGGGGGTACCCCCTTATGTTGCCAGGAATTGGCAATGCAGGGACTTGAACGCAGGCCCCAAGGACTCTCCCTGCCCTCTATTGGGCGTAAGTACAACCCCTTCCTCCTTCCACTGATCCTGCTCATGGGCCCAGAACACAGGCTCCATAAATATTTATTGAATAGTTAAATAGCTGCAAGGAACTAAACCATTTAAATAAACGAAAGATTATGGATGAAAAATAAGTATACACAAGCCCCGCTCCCCACCCCCAAGAATAAACTGCTATAGTTATTTATGGATTTTAAACTCAACAAGGACACAAATAGTCCTTGGTCTAAGGTAGAAGTTGGAACAAATAGAAGAGTGGGGAATCCCTTCGATGTGGTCTAAGGTAGAAGTTGGAACAAATAGAAGAGTGGGGAATCACATTATGGTTACCACACAACCATAATGTGTACATAAATAGGGTTCTTCTTGAAAAAACAATCCCACACTGATTGCCAGGCGTGATCCTGGCTGGATCCTGGAATAGGAGTAGTGGGAAAACGGGTGAAACCCAAAGAAAGGCTACAGGCTAGTAATTAGTAGTGTCCCAAGCTTGCTTTCTTTAGCTTTGACACATGTGCGGTTGTTATGTAAGATGTTTCCCTAAAGGGAAACTGGGTGAAAGGTGTACAGGAATTATCTGTCCTATCTTGCTATTTTTCCAGAACTCTAAAATTAGTCCGAAATAAACAGTTTATTTTTTAACGGTCATTAAAAAAACCCACAAAACAACCAAACAACCCTTCCCACTGAAATGCCCTCCCATGGTCCCAAGCAGTAGCTTGGAGTAGGAGCTGGGTCTGCAGGTAGGAGTGGTAACTACCGTAACCAGCGGCTCTCGAGCCCACCCTGACACACGGCAGCCCCACATGTGTCAGAGGAACATTGGCTCTGTGGGGGTTCAGTGGTTACATTTTGGGAAGTAGAGCTCCAGACCTTTTTCTGCATGGACTTGAACCCCCAACGTTTTGGCTAACTGCTGAGTACATTAACTCCAGTACATCGCCCAAGGACTACTAGTCTGGAAGTCTGTATTGTTAAAACCTAGCTAAGCCAGAACAAAAGTCACAAACGCAAACACTTGCAAGGAACACAAGTGAGTACGACAGTTCGGGGTCCCTGGGGATCGTCTACAGTAGGGGTGGGAACCTTTTTCTGCCAAAGGCTATTTGAATATTCATATCATTATTTGTGGGCCGTCCTTGTCAAACGTTTAATGGACTCGTCCCTAATGTGAGGACTTGAACCGCTTCTCTTGGGTGAGACCTGTGATACTAGCTGGTATTCGAGATGCCATGGACCTTATATGGCCCTTAGTGCATTGACCATTTGTACTACCCAGGGACCCCTTAGAATCCATAACTAACACTCATTGCTGTCAGTCCATTCCACCTCATAGTGACCCTATAGGACAGGGTAGAACTGCTCCTGTGGGTTTCTGAGACTATAATTTTTTACAAGTGTAGAAAATCTCATCTTTCTCCCATGAGTGACTGGTGGCTTTGAATGACTGACCTTGCAGTTGACAGCCTAACGCCTAGCCCACGATGTCATCAGGGTTTCTAGTCTTAAGTTCGATAGGCAGATGATAATCTGTAGGGGCGAATGCATTCATTCAGGCCTCTGATGATTCTTGAGCACCTACTGTGAATTGACTGTAGGTATACAACAGCAAACAAAACCACACTGGCACTTATGGTATTAAGTGTGTGGTCAAAGGGCACACTGAACAATCAGCTATTCAATAATCACAATAACACCAACAACACACCACAGATTAGAAAATATTAGACAGGGAAAAAATGAGGAGCTGATGCCAAGGGCTTAAGTGGAGAACAAATGTTTTCAGGATGAGGAGGGCAACGAATGTACAAATGTGTTTTACACAATTGACGTATGTATGGATTGTGATAAGAGTTGTATGTGTCCCCAATAAGATGATTAAAAGAGAAAATGTTGCCGGTTCACTTGGTGACACTGGTAACAGCTATTTGGTTGTCATTTACAGATTGGCAAAATCAACGCTGGTCCTTATTCCTTTATTGGGTGTTCATGAGATCCTCTTCTCTTTCATCGTGGATGAGCAAGTTCAAGGATTTTCCAAGCTAATACGACTCTTCATTCAGTTGGCCCTGAGCTCCTTCCATGTAAGTGGGTATCTGAGTGCTATGTCTTGACTTGCATTGGGAGCAAACCCCATGCATGCAATTCAAACAGTCTTGGAGTGGAGAGCGAGCCCATGGGTGCAAATCAAGTTCTAACCTCAGCAGGCTGCATCAGTGAGAGCCTTTGGTATTAGAGGGGTGTGTAGATGGAAATGTCATTTTGAGCCTACCATCGTGACTCAGTCACAAAGCAGGGAAAAGTGGTCAGTGTCCGGGGTTTTTAGAGTTGGGGTGACTCATGAGCATATTCACTCTGAATGTCAACATGAAACCTTTGATCAAGTGCCTATTTTTTGCCGGGTTCTCGGTAGAGCTTTGGGCCATTATCTGCAGGGCAAAGGGCATTACTCAGAAAGGGGGATGACTTGTGTAGAGTCCAAAGTAGGGGTGCCTTGACAGATGTGTGGGGGCTGGGACTGGAAAGTGGAGCTCAGTTATGGTTAGGTAATCCAGCTGTTTTGGTTATCCAGCAGCGTGTAAAGGAGCCCTAGTGGCATAATGGGTCCTGTGTTGGGCTGCTGACCACAAGATCAGTGGTTTAAACTCCCCAGTCACTCCAAGCGTTTTGCTCCCATGAAGACTTACAAGCATAGCGAAGTACTTACTCCAAGACTCACTGCCATCAAGTCGAATCTGACTCATTGTGACCCTACTGGACAGAGTAGATCTGCTTCTAGGGAGACCTGGTGGTCTAGTGGTTACATGTTGGCCTGTGATCTGCATGGCCGGCAGTTCAGAACCACCAGAAAGACTGGGCTTTCTACTCCTGTAAACAGTTGTAGTCTCGGAAACCCAGAGAGGGTCCATATGAGTCAGCATTGACTCGATGGCATTGAGTAAGAGAACGGCTTCTATGAGTTTCCAGACTCTTTCTAGGAGGCGGACTGTCTTGTCCCTTAGTGCAGTACCAGAGGGGTGAAAAGGTTTAACTGGTGGTGTGAGTCCACCCAGAGGCACCTCAGTCTGGTACCTATTTCTGGAAAACACACAGCCATTGAAACCCTATGCAGTACAGTTCTACTCTAATACTCATGTGGTTGCCAGGAGTCACAGTTGACTCCAAGGCAGCTGTTCATGTTTCCATGGAGACCACTGCCTGCCTGCTGTGTGGACATCCTGAACCAGGCTGCCTACAGGAAATGCACAATATCCTTCCCCTGGACAACAGTTTATAATTCCTTCCCCATTTCAACTCCTTCCCAGCCCAGAGGCCCCTTATCAGGGACTGGTCTTTGAAATGTTATCAAGAACAATGAGAGGAGGTATCCCCATCTGACCTTCACACTCTAACTCAGCGGTTCTCAACTGTGGGTCCCGACCCCTTTGGGGGGTCGAGCGACCCTTTCACAAGGGTTGCCCCGATTCATAACAGAAGCCAAATTACAGTTATGACGTAGCAACGAAAATAATTTTATAATTGGGGGGGGGGTCGAGCGACCCTTTCACAAGGGTTGCCCCGATTCATAACAGAAGCCAAATTACAGTTATGAAGTAGCAACAAAAATAATTTTATAATTGGGGGGGGGGTTGTCACCACAACATGAGAACTGTATTCAAGGATCGAGGCAGCAGGAAGGCTGAGAACCACTGATTTAGACGATCGGGAGGGGGGCTAGAAGACATTCCCTTGGCGTAGAGTACACTGCTGGCGTGCCTGCTGCTACTGGCTGGGGCGCAGGGAGGCGGGGCAGAGAGGGACAAGCGTGTGCCGCATGCACACAGGAGCCGGAACCCTAGCAGTCACAAGGGCGTTTCTAGCAGGTGGCTTTGTTAGGTGGACTCTTGTCGGTCAGGTGTGGAGAGACTGAGGGGTCAGCCTGTTGGCCATTCCTGCCTGGGTAACAACGTAACTGCTCCTCAGGAAATAACGTGAGGGTTTAGGCAGGGCAGTGGCAGTCCCGTGGGATGCAATAGCCACATGGTCATTGGCCTCCTTGGAGGGCATTCATCCGCCAGTCCGGGATTTAACTATGGAGTCCGTGGGATAAGTCAGCCTGCGGGTTAGTCCTTCTCTTCATGGTTAGTCATTTCACAAGGAGCTGGGTTTCCATGGGTGGCCTCACCACTGTCCTGCTGCCTTCCGTTAGGGAGGAGGCTGCTGACAGCTGGTCGGCAGAACTTGAAGAAATGGTAAATGAGACCACCGTGTCTTCTATGATCTTGCGTTCCTAAGAAACGGAAAAAACACATTTGCCGAGAGAACCATGTTGCGAGGGGACTTTGGGAACAACTTCAGAATGGGAGCAGACAAGTAGAGCAATGATAATCATAAAAAAATTCTCATTTTCCTAAAGCCTGGAAATCATATAGAACATTCTCTAAGGGCAAAGATATAGAGATTAACATTTCATTTAAACACCATAGTCTTTGCCAATGAACTAGCTCGCGTGATTTGAGAATGCTAAGAGGGGATCTGATTTGGACACAAACCTTATTTTTGAAAGTGAAATTCTCAACAATTTGTTGAGAATATACATGGAAGTGTAACCCCTTTCTGATTCTTCAGTGTGGCCTGGCTTGTTTAAAGCTAAACAACCCGATTCTTGCCCCACTCCTCTCTTTAGCACCGTCTGAAATCATGGTAAGGATACCTTGATTGAAACTCAGCAACCAAATCATCTTCATCCCTAACCATGCTCCCCACAAGGAAACAAATA